TGCCCCGCGGCCGCCGAGGCCCGCCGCCGAAGGGGGGAGCCTGTCCAGGGTTGGATCACCGCAGCTTTTCACCAGGACACACAACCACCACAGAAGCATAAATCCATTTAAAACCACAGAATGACGTGGTGAAAGAAAGCAAAAGACCATCCAACGCAGCTCGTTAGGGTTCACATCCCCGCTTCGGTAAATGGATGCTGGAGGGGCAGGAGGTGGGGGCACACACCAAAACATCCCCAGCCTTGGGCCCTCAGGCTGGGCACCATCAGCTGCCCCCACACAGCCCCTTCTTTGTGCCCGGCTCCGAGGGGCCCATTGGAAACTCGCCTGGTACTAAACGATGCCCTGCGCTTCCTCAGCTGCCGGAGCAATCAAGAGAGCCAAGCGAGGCTCCCGCAGCTGCAACACAGGGAAAGCCTCTTTGTACCCCTCTCCCCGCTCAGCCCACTCCCCGTGTGCTAGAGACAGCTTGGCCCAGCAGCACCCACGGCCTTAGGGTGTCCTGCATGTCCACGGGAACCCCGCACAAGGCAAACCCACACGTTCACGCACCAAACCTCCACCTCAGGAGATGCAGAGTGCTCAGCGCAGGGCTCAGCTGCCCTGGGTGGGGGAACCAACACCGAAATGGCACAGCTGTAAAAAACAAACTGGCAGACCTAGCGCAGCTTCACAACAGTACCAGAGAACCCCTTTTTCCAAGTGAGCCCTAGGAGTTGCTTCACTTTATTTCTCAGAGACCCAACCCCAAGTGTCAGAAACGAATAAAGGGAAAGGCTAGAGTTTTGCTTGCTTTGTGTTTTATGCAGCTGCAACACGATCGTCCCCTGGGATCATCTTTCCTCCCCGCAGGCAGGTGAGGTGGAAGCCACAGTCTCTGGGTACTGGGCAGTAACTGGATCCTGCAGACCCAGATACAGACGTTGCCCCGTAAGCCTCTGCCAGGGAGAAACTGCCTCTGCCGTGACCACAGACCTGCTGCAGGGAGAACTCCCACCACCATGCAGGTAAGTGCTTCAGCTCGTTGCTCAGCCGCAGCACAGAGGCTAGCATGGGGCTGTTCCCTCTAGGACAGCCGGGACAACAGCTTTCCCTTTGGCTTCTTACCTGCCAGCTTTCACAAGGCGTTGTCAGGCCAAGTACCAAAGATTCTCCTTTGAGGACACATATTAATGTTACAGGTCCTCATTAGCATCTCAGGCCTTCAGTAACAGGTTAAAGACAGTCAGAAAATATTAATAGTGAGTTATTCCTCAGTATTTCCATGCATGGATGCACAGAAAGGAGCCTTGTAAACTACAGCATGGTAATATCCTTCTCAGCTTGGGACCTCACTGTGCCACAAGAAGTAGGGTTGTTTAAGTTTCTAGGAGGAAAAGAGCCTTACACTAACAATACAAAGACCGCGTCTACAAGTCATGATTGTTTCACATTAATATATTATAAAATGAAGGAAAGCCTTTCTGTTCTAGTAGTAAGAGAATTCAGTGTCCACGTCTTCTCCTCCCCAGCTGACACCCTGCAGGCTCCGGACTCACCAGTGGTGCTTCATCCTATTTAATGTCTTGCTTTTCCACGTGCTGCTCTTTGGAGCAGATTTACTGGAGGAATACTTCCTGCGGTCATTACCTCTTTCTTACACTGACGCAAAGACTCTCGAAATCAGGGAGAGGGCCAGGAAGCTAGATACGGATCCGCTAAAGGCCAATCTCTCTTACACCGTCAGCAGTGCAGCAACATGCTCCGATCAAGAGATATTTTTGCTCATTCTTGTCTGCAGTAGCCCAGAAAACAGGACAAGGCGCAACGTGATCAGGCAGACATGGGGCAACGTGACAGACGCCAGAGGTTATGCTGTCCTTACTCTGTTTGCTTTAGGAAAGCCGGCTTCAGTAAGCACCCAGCTGGAGATCAATGAAGAGTCTCAAAAGCACAGAGACATTATTGAAGGCAGTTTCATTGATTCTCCTGAGACGGAGACACAGAAGATGTTGATGAGCGTGGAGTGGACAGTGACTGTCTGTCCCCATGCAAGGTATATTCTTAAAACTGATGAAGACATGTTTGTCAGTATTCCAAGTCTGGCTGGATACTTGCTTAGCTTAACACAGCTAGAGGACACTTACATCGGGAGGGTCATTCATCAAGGAGTACCCAACAGAGACCCCAAAAACCCTGGCTTTGTTCCCATCCATCAATACTCGGAAGAGTTTTACCCAGATTACTGCGATGGCAGCGCCTTCGTCATGTCCCAGGACGTCGCTCGCAAGGTGTACGTGGCTGCCAAGGAGGTGCCAGTTTCAGTGCCCCCTGATATCTTTGTCGGAATCTGTGCTAAAAAAGCTGGCATCACTCCCATTCACAGCTCTCGATTTTCTGGGGAGAAGCACATCAGCTACAATCGATGCTGCTATAAATTCATTTTCACCTCTTCCAACATGAAAGAGGATGAGTTATTTAAAGACTGGAAGGAAACAAGCGATGGGAAAGATTGCTCATTACTGGAAACTTACTACGGTCTGGTGTCCTGCAAGGTTTTGACCTACATTGATAAGTTCAAACAGTTTAACTTAGATAGAATTAAAAATGAGGTTCTTCAATTTGCTGATTAAGATTTAACTTTTGCGAAGAAAGTCTGAATTTTCTTTTACCAGCTGTTTTATCCTGTTAATATTCAGTAATAACGATCTCCTCTCAAAGTTAGCTCTCTTCCCTTCAACCGCAAATGAATTCTCAGTGCTATAGTGTGTTACAGCAGCAAAAAGAACTGGATGTACTCTAGCTACACAAGTGCATGCATACAAGTAAAAAAGAGTATTCCAAGCAACTTTGTCCGTATCCAGTGTTTTCCAGACTTTTTAAGTCCTCTACCTTATGCCAAAACTCCTTCTGCATTTTTTGTCTGAGTGAGGCATCACCTACTTCCAAAGTATTTTGTAACAAAGGGGAATCTTTCCATCCACAAAAGGGAGCTACTTCTGAGCAGCCTGTTTTACAGTACCAGTGCAACTACAGAACAGCTTAGAGTGGGAACAGACATTGAACCAACATGGGAATCGCGTAGGTAAATAGCCCAGGGAGATTCTAGGCAAGACATCTAACTTATCTGTTAAAGAATCTTGTATTTCTGTCAGCCATGGCATCAGAGACACTCACACACTTTACGGGGCAATGGGAGGACAGGGACGACACACTTAAATTTTTCATTGTATGGAAGATACACCAGCAGCAACATGTAAACCATATGGCAATACACAGGATGGGTAGGGAACTACATGTGAATAGGGGTAAGCGTCTGATCAATTAATCGGAATGTTGAGCTCAAAGCTCAACAAAATAAAGCATATGTGCATATATAACAAACCCTTGTTTGGCTTCTCTGTGTATTCTAAAATACTGTATTTGGCAAACGTACCACGCAAAGCAGATGCTAAAGACTTAGCACACAGAGTAGCCTTCAAAGGCAACAGCTGAAAACACACATGGAAGAGACTCATGAATTGCAGAAAAGGTTTATATATTGATTTCTTTTACTGAGATTTTAGTATACAGCTTATACAGAGCTACCAGCACACAAAGCCACCTAAAATAACAAAGCTGAACTGTCCAATGCAAGCACAAACTAAGGAATTCTATACTCTTTTCCGTTTCCTTTTTAGTGCTTTCATTTTTTTCCTGGATGCAGGATTCATGAAGCTTCTGTGCTCTCTGTTCACAAATGAGACACTGTGTACTACATTTCTCACTAGCAGATGTTTATTATGCACATCTAGGATGAAAGCATCAGCAGTAGTGTAACGTCGGTTGACAACTTTTGTACATATTAGATCATAAGCAACAAGGCAGTTCACCTGCATTCAGATAGCTTATTAAACATTAAGGGATCTTCCTCAACTACCCTGCTCCTCTGAGCCCACTTTGACTCCTTGCCAGCAGTTTTTGGCAGGCAATACCATCACCTCTGCTGCAGCTCAAAGCTACTACAAGCAAGAAAAGAGTTACTGCGTGACTAGATCATCATGCTTTGCTTGGCAGAGTGGGGACACAGCGCCAGTACTTTCCATAGAGGTATACCTGACTTGACACACTACTAAAATAAGCCCAAAAGTAGTAATTTCATGTTGTATTATGCTCCTCCCAGCTACTCCTCAGGTTTGTTTCTTATGTCCTCAACAAAAACAATATAAACCTTTTGTATAAAGTACATTGTGGTCTCTGTTTTATGGACAAAGACACATCACATGGCACTAGAGTGTCCAGCTAGTCTTGCATCTCATCCGCAGCTAGCTGACCGTCTTCAGAGGAAGATACACATTCGTAAGGTATTACGTTTCCATATTCCTAACTCAGTTCATGCCCTTAAACACGAAAACTTTGTCTTCTTACCCCTTTTATTCTAACTCAGGCAACTAAAATCATACATTTTTTTACATAACACTTAAAATTAAAAAATTTTATCTCTGTTAAAAAATAGTGTAAACAATTTGAGATTTGGTTCTGAAGTAGACTTGTAGTGCTATAGCTCATGCTCCTTCTGAGCAAGTAAACTGAGCTGCCACACAAAGTCGCAGTCAACAAGGGAGACAAAGCTCCCAATTTGGTTTTATACACCAAAGCTTGCATCCATTTGTTTTTAAAAGGGCTAAAAGCTTTTTTTCATCCTCAGCATAAAATGTAAACAATATTTAGGATTATTTATTCAAGCAAGACTTACATCCAGCAAGTTGAAAATAGAAGACAATCCAGTTCATACTCCCTCATGTGGACAGAATGTTACCAGCTTATTCTTACAAACAGGGTTTCTGACGGAATATGACTGGCTAAAAGACTATGTTCCACGCAAGTGCCAACTTCGGCAGATATAAAAAAAACCAAACAAAACTATGGCAGCATCTGAGGTTGCAAACCTCAAGGTTTTTTGGTGGTTTTTTAATTGAACTGTGATCTACTGAGAAAACACGATAGTAACTCCAAACCCAAGAACAGTTTAACTAAACACTGATAATTTCTGCAAAATAAAACACAGGCAGCAGTTGATAGAGTGCTTACCTTGGTTACTTGCCTCACAACAGTACACAGAGAACTTCTGCCATGACATTCTATGGGAAATTATGCTGTGCCCTATAGGATTTGATTTGCTCTCATGACTCTCATTTCAAATAGATTCAAGTGCTTCACATTCCTTTAAAGAGACAATCTAAAGAGACTCTAGTGTGGGGAGTCTTTACACCTTATATCTTAACACCTATTTCAGTAACATGGCTTGCAAGAAGGGGAACCAAGACAGCAATAACATTATTCTGCTCCTTCCACGGCTGTAGTAGAAACTGCCTTAACATAATAAGGGCCTTCATGCAAGTAAGCTCTAAGCCTCAAGTAATACTGATTTCCAAAGATTTCCGCGATTGTTTTAGAGTTTACGAGGGCCTTAACCAGTTCATATTTGGCATCCTTCGAAGGTTTGTCAGGCTCCACAGATCTGTCTACAATGTACTCCACAAACCCTGGACTGTTAAGCATCAGCTTCTGGGCCCATGGTTGATTTGCAATAGCCTAAACATGAAGACAAAAGAGGGGAGAGGGGGAAACACTCATTTTAAAAAACAAAAAAACAGTTAGGCTGTTATGCAAATAGCCAAGGAACAGAAAAAATGAAATGGGATATTCATTCTACACAGTACTTACACAACCACCACTCAAATCAAGCAGCAGGGTTTAATGCTGGAAAACAAGTACAGCTCAGTGCTTATCTTTAAAGTTTTAAGTGAATTATCACAGCAGTGCCTCTGATATCGAAGCAGCACCCTAGAGCATAGCTGTTGCTTTTTTTTTTTCCCCCCTCTCCAATTTGTAAGAAAATAAGCATTATAGACATGACACGTCTGCTGCATTATTTAAATGGTGAACGCAAGTGGGGCACAATGAAAAAGGCCTTATTTCTGACCACTTAAGGGCTTCGACAAGAAGTTTGTGGCATTCACTTAAAAAAAAAAATCTGAGACTGAATGGCAATACAATTCATTACCCGATCTTTAGAAACAAAAAGCACTTACAGTAAATACCCGTAAAGCCCCACAGTGGAGATCAGGGAATGGCTGAGTACTGATGCTCCTGAAGAGTTCCAATGGCTGGCTAGACAAGGATGTGAACCATGATTCAGTCATTCTTAAAAGGTCTTCTGTCTGCTGCTCTGGCTACATGCATCACATACAAAAATGAAAGAGTTTGATTAGGATTATGAAAAGCTTTCAAGTTTTGACTATCTGTTCAATAGTTAAGGAAGTTATTTAAAACAAACCACCACCAGATTAAACTGAAATAGTTTAAATTTTCAACTTATTTTCATGAATGAAGAAATGGCCTTCTATATTTCATTTAGCTTGGAAGACCAATTTAAATTGATTTTGATACACGAGATAGGTGCTGTGCTGGAGTGCAGTCCTGCAAGACAAACGAAAATGGTTTACTCGCTCATTTAGAGCTACACTATCAAAACCAGATCACTGGATCTAAAGAACATATACAGGGATTCGAGCAGTTTGCCACTATCTCTTTAAAGCACAAGAATATTAAACTGTTTACTCTCATTCCCTTGCCAATGCTGTCTTGACTTCACGTTTTATAAACAGATTTCAGAACACCTGGCTTCTTAAAAACAAAACAAACAAAGGGAATTTCAAAACAGTTAAGTTAATGACTCCAAATACAAGAAAGCTACCACTTCTACCTAAACTAGATGCTGCAAAAGGTCTTCACACAATTAGTCAGATGTGCAATAATTTCATTCTTGTAGATTAAAAAAAAAAAGGCAACAAACTAAACCACAAACTTACAGGCAAGTAAAGAAGAGATGAAATTGCATCCAAGCATCGAAGCCGTAACTCTGTTGGGGCATTCTTTGCCTGGTGCCCTATTCTGTTTAACAGATTTTGAAATCTACTTCCTTTGAAAATAAAAACAAAGTGATTTTACTTAATTCAGATAGACCTCTACAGGAGTACAAAGCTACCTGTCGGTCACATTAGACTACATTAACTGGTAGAAAGAGTATTGTACATTAAACCTGAGAAAGACAACTTCTTGATCTACTGTAATAACAGCAGTGTAAGATTCTCTTTGCTTATATGGATCTAAGACAGACAAATCCAAAGCTTTTATGTTAATTCTCCAGACTACCCAAACATTTCCAAAAAGGAAGTTACGTGTCACAGATAATTGAGTCATCTTGGGAAGTGTGGACCCTAGTACACTTGCAACTAGAAATCTTCAATCCCATTCTACAATGCTTCAAAAGCTATCTGCTAATATAGATTTTCACTTAAAAAACAAAGTTCGGACTAGCAGAAGACGACTAGCACTTACTTTGAATCCTCTGAACAGTTTTATATTAAGGAAACAATGCAGTCTTTACAGAAAGTATCATTACACAATAGTTCATATTTTTCTAATCCTGGTGAGAAGGTCACAACATCAGTAGAAACAGAGGAATCTAAACACAACTACTGATGATTCGTATGATGGAGCTCACTAGAAAATCATTTGAATCACACTTGCGATACCAGAATTCTAGCTGCCACGCCTGGCAAGACAGTTAAAAAACACCTTATCTGCTATAGCACAGCTATTCAGACACCCTTGATTATTGATAAATAAACACATTTTTCAATTCCTTTCTCTATTACCAAACCAATTCACTCTTGTATATTATGACATACTGAGAAAGTTTTATTAAAGAAAAAAAAAGTGATACTAACTAGTTTTCTGTAAAACCTGTTTGCCTTCCACATTTGATCCCAGGATTCCTAGCGTGTCCACAGCCACCCCTATCATGGTCGGATCATGACTTTCTGCCATTTCAAAGACTTTTTCCATAAAGACAGGGTATCGTTCACAGATCTGCTGTGGACTGTCTACAACAGCCAGATTTCCAAAAAATTTAACAAATCCTGAGAGAACAAGACAAAAAAAGCATTCAGAGTGGGAGAAAAATAACTTTAGCAATTTCAAAATTAAACATACATTAATGTAAGATTGTTTCACTGCTGAACTAGTGTTATTAAGTCTGAATACTGTTTGTGAAAGGCATCAGAATAAGGACAGAACTAAGGAACAAGCCAGTGTTTTGGAAGTTACTTAATTCATGATATAACAGCTGTCTTCTTGAATTCATTTAAAAGAAAAAAAAAAAAAGGCTAAAATAACACAAACTTCAAGTATATAATACATTCTCTCCAGATCTTACCTGCACTACCACTGTTAATGAGTAGTATTATTCATGTGTTAGACTGTCCTTCAGCATTTTTCTATACATCCAACATACACATTCTAATATTCAAAAATTCACATAAGCTTTCAAAACAGAGGCTTAATAGTCCTCTCAATTTAACTCATTAATAAAAGCAAGCAGTAAACACTGGCAACAAGAAATGCATGATGTAACCTGGTAAATAGAAGCCTGAGAAAGGATCAGACTCTGCACCAAGGATGATGTTCGAAATTTTATCGGTAATTCCTTGTTGAGCAAGATACTGACGCCCATGTGAACTATGGGCCAGTGAGGTCACCATCTCTATACATGTAGCCCTGTAACAGAAAAACAGTTATTTTGGCCTATTTCAGATGGGGTTTTGAAGTACTCTGATTAAGAAAAAACAGGTTTTCTAGCCTTAAGACAAAATCCAAACAAACAAAAAACCACAAACCAAACTACCCCAACTGTCCAACACTCCACCAAGCTCACTCAGCCATCTTACTTTAGGTGTATAGTTGGAAAGAACTCTAAAGTGTTTATATTCGGCAGCCCAGCATTACAATTATCACAGCATACTGAGGAAACTTCATCGTGGTTCTCAAATTTATGTATACAGTATTTTACACTCAAGGCTGTTTAAGAAGAGGCAGATAAAGTGTTTTCCTGAAAACGGTTTCACAAGAAACACACACAAATGTGTTTAAAGAGTGTTATTTTAAGACTGAACATCAGAGTTTTAACAATGGGGGAAATCTCAGTAGCAAACTCACTACCAGCATACCTGACCAGCACATCATCTCCAGTTAGCTCTCCAATTAACTCTGATATTAATCCACTGTTTGCACAGTAATTTAGCGAATCCGCTGACACCGAAGAAATCTCAACAATTAACTAAATAAAAGCACAAGAAAAAAAAAAAAGGACGGTTTATAAAAACATTATAATGATAACAATTCACAGTAATGGCCAAATATGTCTTATAATGCTGACTAACCCTATATATATATACACACACACATACACAAAAACAGAATTTCATGATGTTTTCATAATTAACCTAAATGTTTGCCTGAAGCAAGTTCATAAGGAGTTCCAAGCTTACAGCACATGCATTTGATTTCTATTCACAGTCATCTTTTCTTCAGAGAATCATCGCTACTATCCCCATTAAGCTCTAGAATGGCTAAATTGTATTATTTCTCCTTTGCCATACACATCTAGACTGACACACTTGGCATCTCTCTCTTGGTCTCTTCTCCCCTCCGGAAGTTTCAATAACACTTCACATCCAAAGGTTAAGAGACTACAGCAGCTATTTTACTTTTACTTTCAAAGAAGCAAACATTTTATTGTATCTTTAGTAACTCTGTGTAGCCCTTCCAATGCCCTAGGCACCACAAGTTAGAAAATAAAAGATGTAAACAGTACTTCACACTTTTGTACCATAAACTGAGAAAGAGAAGTTATGACATTATTTGAGAGCCAACGCTGCTGTACTCTTCCCACTCCTTTCTAGTCTTGACAAAATGTAGACATGAAGAAAAGTTTGTAAAGCAGTGATGAATACTAATGTAAAAGCAAGCCATAAAATCTAGATTGTAATTCAGAACTACAGTCCAAGAGAACTGCAGTATCATGTCATTCAAATGCTAACATTGATCGCATCCCTACCTCATATACTCTGTATCGAACAATATCATTTGTTGCCATGACATTTTTCAAGTCACTCAACAAACTGCTCACAAATAAAGCCTCTAAGCCATCTTGCGTCTGTGCTATTCTTGAGAGAGATTTGATGGCCTGGAAGCAAAAACAGGAGCTTATTATTAAAAACAAACAAACAAAACCACAAAGAGAAGAAAAACCAAGACGATTAGACTTAGTTTCAATGTTCTTTGCTAACATATTAGATCAAGTTATACATCTAAAATTTTAATTGTGATTCACTTTTCATTGACAAGAGCTAGTTATGGTTACTGTGATCTAAATCTCCGGCATCAAATTCAGATCTATGAGTTCACTTTGTCATCAATAGCTACTGGAAGATAGCAGTTCTAGGAAAATTTTCTATCACATCTAAGCAATTTCTGGGCATAAGGCACCTGCATGCTTATAACATCTTTCAAGCAACATAAGCTCTCTTTTCTTCAAAGAAGAGCAGAGGCTATCATCTCAGACACAGCAGAAAAGGCGTTCTGTGCAGGGTCTACGTCAGTTTGTAGAGGAAGAAAAAAAGAAAGCAATACTTACCTCTTTAGCCACTGCTATTTTCTCTCCACCAATGCAATTTATTATTTGCCGTAATAGTTCAGGACTGTTGAGAATTTCTGTAACAGCATCTGAATTTTCAACAATCCTCCCAACCTAAAGACATGATTAAATAATTATAGAAAATAACATTAAAACAAACTTTCTCCACTATAAGGACATTCAAGTACTGGAACAGCTACCCAGACTGACAGAATCACCATTTTTGGATATACTCAAAACTCAATTGCACAATACGCTGAGCAGCCTGTTGCAAGCTGGCCCTGCTTTTAGCTGGGGGCTGGACCTGAAACCTGTAGAATTCCATTCCAAACTACAGCCTATTCCTCTTCAGTGTTTCCACAATATTGTTCAAAATATCCTGAATATCAAAACGTTGCTACACTTAATTCTTACGGCACCTGCTGTCAGCGCTGGCTTAGAAAGCTTTATCCAGAACATGTGACGGAAGATTCATTTATAAGTTACTTCTGTCAAGACAGTTTTATACATTATGTTTAACAGACACATCATATAGCATTATATACCAACACATTGCACAGTATTTATCCAAAATTGCTTGAGCGTGTAAGAGCACAATTCCTGCAGATAACACTTGATGTAGTGCTTTTATCACAAATCAGGACATGACTAGTAACTGATTAGGACTAACCCAGCCTGGCTCAAGGGAGAGCTCTGGTCCCTCCTCCTGGAGGAAAACCCTGTACCTGAGATATGGTGAGGATCTTCACGGAGTCATCGGGGTGGAAAAGCCCTTTCTGAAGCTCTTCTCTGAGGTTCTGGATCACATAGACCGGGTCCAGGGCCTGCAGGAGCCTCTCCAGGATGGAAACACACGCAGACACCTGCTCCCTGGGCGGGACGGAGAGAAAACCAAGCCTTTCAGGAGGGGGACGCCGCCGGGTGCTCCCAGACCCTCAGCTGTACCAGCCCCCGCCCTGAAGGTGGGAAGGGAAGGAGACGGGGTAGCAGCAGGAGCCACCCCGCTCCGGGGAAAAGGGAGAGAGGAGGCGGCGGGGCCGGGTCAGGCCCGCGAGACCAGGCCGCCGCTCACCGGTCATTGACGCT